TCTACTGCACCTAGACCAGATCCTGGCCAGCCTATAAATAACAATAAGCAATCCACAACTAATCCGAATAAATATAATAACTTGTACTCAAATCAAAACCGAAATAGAACTTTTGCTCAGGTAGTGAACAATGATGGTAATAATACGGAATCAAACATAATGACTAATCTCACGCAGTTTTTAATTGAGTTTAAAAACATGTTCAACCAGCTAATGCAACAAAATGTAATGATACTAAACATGCTTACAACAGTGATAAATAAACGAAATCACTAATGGCAAAGTTTATTAAAATCGCACTTTGGAACGCTAATGGTCTAACACAACATAAACTAGAACTCATAACATTTCTGAAACTCAACCACATCGATGTAATATTAATTAGTGAAACACATTTTACAAATTTTTCATACTTCAAAATACCAAACTATACAACGTACCAATGTAATTACCCTGATAATACGGCACGCGGAGGTTCGGCCATTATAATTAAGGATTCATTAGAACATTATGCTCTTCCAAATTTTCAATTCAATTATCTTCAAGCCACAATAATAAAAGTAAAATTGAAGTCATATGATTTAACACTGTCAGCGGTTTATTGCCCTCCACGATATATTATAAAACAGAATGAATTTGAAGAGTTCTTTAAGATATTGGGTAAAAGATTTATAGTCGGTGGTGATTATAATTGCAAGCATACTAGATGGGGCTCAAGACTTACTACAGCAAAAGGTAATGAACTTTTGAAAGCAATAGATAGCAACAACTTTGGCATTTTATCATCCGGATCTCCTACATATTGGCCAAGTGATCCCCATAAAATACCAGATCTTTTAGACTTTTTCATATACAATCAAATTAATGACAAATTTACAGATATCAAATCATACTACGACTTATCATCGGATCACTCCCCTATTGTGTTAACTGTTGGTGTCTCAACTATTCCCAAAAGTAAACATATTCAACTACATAACAAGTATACAAATTGGGATAAATTTCGAGTTGACCTAATTGAAAAAACAAACCTTAAAGTTTCACTCAAGGATGAAGCCGAAATCGAGGCAGCAGCAGAAACATTAATAAAGAATATCCAAACATCAGCACAAAAAGCTACTCCAGATATACCACAAATAAATGTAAAATCTGAGGTATCGCTTGAAGTCAAAGTCCTAATACAAAGTAAAAGACATGCTAGAGCAATATGGCAGCGTTATCATAGACCTGAAGATAAAAACAAATATAACAAATTATGCAGAGAGCTTAAATATAAATTAAACAAAATCAGAAATGAGGAATTTGAAACATATATAAAACAACTATCAAGAACAGATCAATCAATATGGAAGCCTATTAGAAACTCAAAGAAACCTAAAATACCCGCGTCGCCAATTAGAAAGAGTATAGATGATCCATGGGCCAAAAGCGATGCAGAGAAAGCCCAACTTTTTGCAAAATATCTTGAATGCGTATTCCAGCCATTTGATAATACTCCTAATCAAGACATTGAAAATACATTAGGACAAATAGGACCTTTGCAACCAATAAAACGCATCAAACCAAAAGAAGTTCATCATCAAATCCAAATACTCAACCCTAAAAAGTCAGCAGGATATGACTTAATTACTGGGAGAATTATGAAAGAATTACCAGGTAAAACAACTTTGCTTCTAACATTCATATTCAACGCCATCATCAGAACAGGATACTGGCCGCGCTGCTTCAAAGCAGCACAAATTATAATGATACCAAAACCAGGGAAAGACTTGTGCATTGTGTCCTCCTACAGACCAATTAGTTTATTGCCAATACTTTCCAAACTCTTAGAAAAGATTATACTTAACCGAATAAATACTATAGTACCATCTGAACACTGGATTCCAACACATCAATTTGGATTTCGAAACAGGCACTCTACCATTCAGCAAGTTCATAGGTTAGTTCAAATTATCAATGAAACATTTGAAAATAAAGAGTATTGCAGCGGAATCTTTCTAGATATAAAACAAGCCTTTGACAAAGTATGGCATCGTGGTTTACTTTTCAAGATTAAGCAATACTTACCAGAAATTTTCTATCCAATATTAAAGTCGTATTTAGAAAACCGAACTTTTCAAACAAGAGTGAATACTGAAATTTCACAATTTTTTAAGATTCAATCCGGAGTACCTCAAGGAAGTATTCTTGCCCCCTTTCTATATATTCTTTTTACTAGAGACATACCGATTTCAGAAAATTCAACATTAGCCACTTTTGCCGACGACACTTCAATACTCATCAGGAATCAAAACGCCTCTAAAGCATCTGAACAAATTTAAAGATATTTAAATATACCACAAAAATGGTTGGAAAAATGGAAAATAAATAATAATGAAGATAAATGTGTACATGTAACGTTTACTTTACGTCATAATACATGCCCTGCAGTCTACCTAAATAACAAACCTGTCCCACAATCAGATGTGGTAAAGTACTTAGGTATGCATCTAGATAACAAATTAACATGGAGACATCATATTAATAAAAAAAAGAATCAAATTAAACAGAAAATGAAAGAATTATATTGGCTAATAAACCGAAACTCTAAATTATCTGCAGAGAACAAATTACTTTTGTATAAATGTGTAATAAAACCAATTTGGATGTATGGCGTAGAGTTATGGGGCACTGCTTCAAAATCGAATATTGCAATAATAGAAAGAATGCAAAATAAAATTCTAAGATCAATTGTAAACGCACCATGGTACGTGACAAATTTTACAATTCACAATGACCTGGAAATGTTAACAGTCCGGCAAACAATACAAGAGCGTGCCTTAATACATAGAAATAAATTAGAGACCCACCCAAACCCAATAGTTGCAGACATCTTACTACCGCATGACAATAGAAGACTGAAAAGGATATGGCCATTCGATTTTATGTAAACTAAGTAAGATATATCACTGGATTATCTTATATAATATCATATTTAATTAAATGTACAGTTTAGCTCATAGAAATGATTTTGTATTTCTGATTGCTGAAATAAAGTGAAATAAAAAAAAAAAAAAAAAAATAGTTCATTTATGTTATTATTTTTGTATTACTGTTTTTATTTTATTTTTATTTCAACTTTTTTCATTTTATATTCAATTTATTTTATTTTTTTTTTTTATATTTTTTTATTTTTTTTTTGCTCATATCAATTTTGTAAATAAGACATTAAAGTCTTGATTAACAAAAATAAATTGTAACAAAAAAAAAAATAAAATAAAAAAATGTTCAAATTAATAATTGTAAATTAATTCAATTGTAGATAAAAGATATATCATTAACAAGATTATTACCTTCCATGAAATGCATACATGTTATATAAAAAATAATCTACATAAAATAGTAGTACTTAGAAGTAATAATAATAAATCAAAATAATACAATTTTTTATAGTAATATTTTACATTTTTAAGTTCTTATCGTGTATTTTTATATTTAATGGCCTTCTTCCAAGATCACTTTTTGTCGAAAATTACTAATTTTTACATTCTTAATATATCTCTTAAATCTTCATAATCGCATATGCGATAAAAAAATCAACTGTTTATATTGCCTTTTTGATGAAGGATATTTTTATTGGTAGATCATATAAAGTTTATATCTGATTCCAAAACATATGAAGCGATTTATCATTAATACTTCAATTATATATAATTGAATCCCTTCATATAAGATCAATCCCTTCAATATAAGATCATAGATATAGAAAAATATGATGTTTTAAATAGAACTTATTTGCCATTGAAGCTAGCTATATTTGAAAAAAATGCAATTTTACACATTTTAACATTCTGAAAATATAATATTATCTTATTCCATCCTATTTGCTTTATTAAATCTGAATGAAATATCGTTTGAATATCCATAGTATGATTTATTATAATTATATTTATAAAGTCTTATTGTTGTTCTATAATGAATAATTAGTATTTATGCCTGTCGCTTACATATGCAATAACGGTCAGGTACTTTTCTATAGTCATATATAAAATAAGATACAAAGAAATGAATGAATAATAAGTTTGCAGTGATTTTACAGTAGTAAATATGAAATATACTTTACAAGAATATTAAATTAACAGTTAATACTTCAATCATCTTAAAATATTGGGTGACTACATATATTTACAAATTATATATATATATATATATATATATATATATATATATATATATACGAGTATGCCTATCTCATATATACATTATTAATATAAAAATGAAAACAATAAGCATATTATGTTTTAATTAGTAATTGTTAAATAAATGGCATACTATTCTTAAATTATTGAAAATTTAATAGAAAATATTTTCTTAATTTTATAAACTTGCTTACAGTCGATATAACATAAAATAAATTTATTCCTTAACATATTATACTATATCTCTAGTGGCTTCAGCAGGTATATAATTATATACATTATCAAGAAAGATATTCTGCAAATGAACAAACACTAATTACATGTGATCAAATGATCATAATATTAAAAATTTAAATTTTCATGTCAGATAATAAAATCCAATTAATTTTATAATAACTATAAATAAAAATTCATATTATATTTACATACACTGTCATTTTATTAATATTGGTAAATTTTAAAATTGACTATTATCTTTTTAATGTAATGTAACATTTGTTCAAAAAACTTTCTAAATGAACTATGTAAGATGAGTTAATGTAATAACTTGATGTAGTTGATGTAGCCTTTCGCAGAATACTTTCTTGAAAATGTTATCTGTTAAACTAATAAAAAGCAACACACATAGTCTTTCAAAACATTGTTAAAATCTGCAAGAAATCTGAACAGTATTTTTTTTTTCAAATGATAAAAAAGCAATTTTACAATTTAAGCTACAATATATAGCTTATGTATAGCACCATATAATTGCTTCATCATATCAATCATACACATTCGAACATTCCAAAAATGTTATACACCTATATACTTACAGTAACAAATTCACACACAAACATCAGTGTCTGTATCGAGTCTTATTTCAGGATCGGCTTGTGCCAATTTAAGTAGAGTCTTTTGTACACGAAGTACAGGCAGCCGAACACTTGGATTATGGTGCCAGCATTCCTTCATCAATTTAGCCATGCCCGATAATGTCTAAAAGGAAGAAAAATATATTTGTTAATCCACTTATTGTCAGTATGAAATTGCATTCAATTATAAAACTTAATCAATAAGAATTGATATTTAGAAACTTTCAAGATTGCGCCCTAAGATCTTTTATATTTTTTAACTTGGCATATTATTCCAACCATTGGTTCATTTTTATAATCAACCATTTTTCTTAGGATTATATTCGATTACACCATGAACTCTGTCACTAAGTAAGATTTTATTAAGATTAACTACAACTGTCAATAAGTTGAATTAATTATATATATCAAAAATTATCTGCAATTGCTTATTTGCTACAATAATAGAAAATTTATTATATTTGCCAAAAATTAACTACAATAATAAGAGTGTTTGGCATCGTGCCTTATTGAGGCAAATTGCTGGAATTCCGTACCGTAACGAAATGATCGAGAAATTCTAAATTTTTCAAACAGATTTTTATAAATATTGTAACATTGTCTAATATTTATAAGAATTATATAAACTGAATTGCAAAGTTGAAACTATTTGTTTAAAGTATATTAGAACAGAATTAGAATTAAAATCTGAATTATTTTCGATATACAAAAAAAAAAAATTCTTGAAAAAAAGTTTTTTTTTGTAAAAAAAAATTAGAAACAATTTTTTTCCAAAATCAATTATTTTGTTGAAACAAGCAGAAAGTTCTTTGTATAATTCAAATCGGACGCTTAATTCTCTCAAAAACTGTCATTTTTGCACATTTAGCTCTGTATCTACGAAATGGCTGGACCTGTCAAAATCTAGTCTCACTAATCACCTCTTCTCCCAATCATTACAAATTGAATGTTCTTTAGATCATTCAAATCGGATACTCCGTTCTCTCAAAAACTCGATTTCTATTTTCTGCACTCTTTGCTCCCTATCTCCGTAACGGCTGGACTTGCCTTTGCCAAAAACTAATCAGCACATCTCCCTATCAATAGGAATCGAGTGTTTTTTGAACCATTCAAATCGGTTGATCCGTGTACCCGAAAACGTGGACGAAAAAATGCGGACACACACACATCCATTTTTTGGTATGTCAAAATGTTCAGAAACCTTCCAAACGTCGAGAAATGCAGAAATTTTCATTTTCGATTTTGAACAATTTTTAACTATAAAAGACTATAATATCAAAAAATGAATTATTCTAGCTGTGCAATAAATTATAAACTAGTTGTGTATGGCATCGTGCCTTGAGGCAAATTGCTAGAACTTCTTGTACCGTAACGAAATGTTCAATAAATATTAAATGTTTTCAAATTATTATTCAAATTATTATAAATACTGTAACTGACTGTAACATTGTGTAATATTTATAAGAATTATATAAACTGAATTGCAAAGTTAAAATTATTATTATTTTTTTTTTTTGATACATGTTCTATTTATTTATTTAAAAAATTGAAATATAATAATAAATTATGTTATAGCCATAAAATATAGCTAATATACACCAGATCACATTCAAATAATTATTAAATCGAGTTCACATTTCAATACCAACAGCAATCATGTCCATTTTTAGTTAAAAATTTTTCAAATAATAAGTTGAAAGTGCAAATATAAATATAATAATGTTTTCCATGATAGCACATTTAGATTATTTGAACAAATAACAAAAATTGACAACATAATTTGGCAAGAAGTTGGAAAATGAAATTATTTACTCAAATATGTACATTTTCATATTTGTTCATTTTTTTTTATCAGGGGTTTGGCAACGGCTCTTTCTTTGCTTCATCGGATGCATTTGTTTTGAGATCCTCTTTCTTTTCTTTCACTTCCTTATCTTCAATTTTAACATCTCCTTCTTTGGAGCCATCAGTTTTGTCCAGCCTAGGTCTTTTCCTCTCCTTCATCTTCGCTATCAGAGTATTCATTGTCTGGAGCAATCGCTTATCTTTATCACTCTGTGGAAGCCTCTCATCCTTATCCACTTTTTCTTCATCATCCGATTCATCATTCACGGCATCTTCAGGTATTGCCTGGATTTGCACACCCGGAGCACGTGGAAACATTCTTAGGTTTTCAAATAGTCTATTCTTAATTTTTTCAAGATATTCGTTTGTATTTTGATTGGACATATTACTTAGACTTATGTGCAGTTTGAAATCTGGACCAAAGTATTCAAAGTAGTAGTTGTAAGGTAATTCATTTGCAATTTCACAACCCAAAGCCACTGAAGTTTTATATGTCCAGCATCTGGATACATTCCTAATAGTATAACCTCCACCTCCAACCATGAGGAACGGGAGGCCGTATTTTTTGACAAACTCCACACACTTTCCATGACCTTTGACTGTTAAATTGAAACAGCCCAAACGATCACCGGTTAAAGAATCTGCACCACATTGTAAAACAACCGCAGACGGTTTAAATGTTTCCACTACCTTTGAAATTATGGGTACAAAAATCGAGTCGTAAGACTCATCATCCATACCATCTCTTAAAGGAATGTTAACTGCATAATATTTGCCTTTACCTGCACCAATATCTCCTGTGTGATATCCTGTTCCAGGGAAATATTTCCCATATTTATGGAAACTTACAGCCATTACACGATCTGTAGTGTAGAATGCTTCCTCGACTCCATCACCGTGGTGAACATCAATATCAATATATAATACTCTTTGATGATATTTTAGTAATTCTAATATACCCAACACTATATCATTTACATAACAGAAACCAGAGGCTTCAGATTTCTTTGCATGATGCAAACCAACGCCCCAGTTGTTGCAAATTTCACTTGCTTGCTTATTTAACTTAACAGCTGCGGCAACCGACCCACCAGCTGATAATTGACAAAATTCATAGAGACCATCAAATTCTGAACAATCCTCACCGACATTAAATCAAACCAGCTTACATCTTTGCATCTGCTTGTTATATTCTGACATGTTATCAGGTCTTATCGACCTCAGAAACCTAATGTAATCATCTGAATGAGGTCTATAAATCTCCATTTTTCTGTATAAGACATAATTTAATAATAAATTATGTGTCATGCGTATACGATGAGGTTTCATGGGATGGCCTTGCCCATAATAGTAATTTCCAATGTCGCCGAAATACACCAAATCGACTTAATACACCAATTTATTTTCGTCAACCTGAGGTTAACATTCGAGCGTTGTATATAAAAACTAACAATACACATTTGTACTAATACTATAAACATTATGGAAAATTTTACTCACTATCATAATAATAACACACTCGCTTCTTGCTATGAGCCTGAATCGACATTTTCCACTATTTATTTATTTATTTATTTATTTATTCATAAATATTATTATTACTATTATTTATCATATCATAAATAATAAATATCATATCATAAATAATATTATTACTATTATTTTTGAATTAACTATTTAAAGTATATAAGTGAACTTTAGAACTTTAGCCAGAATTAAAATTAAAATCTGAATTATTTTCAATATACAAAAAAAAATTAAAATAGGTTTTTAAAATTTTTTCAATTTAATTATTTTTTTCAAAAGCAAATTTTTTTAATTTTTCAAATTATTTTGTCAAAACAAGCAGAAATTTTTTCGAATCATTTAAATTGGATCCTTAGTACTCTCTGCCATTTTTTGCACAATTAGCTCGGTATCTCCAAAACGATTGGACCTGCCTTTGCCATAAACTAAACACAACTTCTCCCAATCATTAATTGAATGTTTTTTGGATCATTCAAATCGTATACTTCGTTCTCTCAAAATCTCGATTTCTATATTCTGCACTCTTTGCTCCGTATATTCGTAACGGCTGGACCTGCCTTTACCAAAAACTAATCAGTACATCTCCCTGTCAATAGGAATCGAATGTTTTTTGAACCATTCAAATCAGTTAATCCGTGCGCCTGAGAACGTGAACGAAAAAATGCGAACACACAAAATCAAACACACACACACACCCATTTTTTCTGATGCCTACCTACAGGAAGTTAAATATAATATAATAAAAAAAATAAGATACTCAAAAATGAACTGTAGGGGAAATGGATAAAATGACATTGTGGTCTTAATTAAAAATTGGCTAGTTTTAATAACACGTCCGCTACTGTATAAAATAAATAATGTTGTAGTCATAATCCTTACAAATATTGAGCTTTACAGTCTTCTCAGAGTAAGTATATCGCGCCTTTAAAAGTTTATTTTGAGGCAGTAATTCTCATGTTTTTTGTCGCCTTGTAATTATCTTTATTGAAATTAATGAACTTACACCAGTACTAGTGATTTCGATCAATTTTATTGCATTTATTAGGTGTTTGATGGAATTTTTATTATTTATTCATTTTTTATCACTTTCGAACAAAATGACATACTTATACACTGAACAAAATGGCATAATACTATTTCGCAAACACTACAAAGTTCATTCTCGGCCAAAAGCAGACCAAATAAACCACCAGTAAAAAAAAGATCCTTGCATTTTTTGCAAAGATATTCTTTTCCGTTCTGAGTCCGTCGATAGTTGGTTACGATATATGACTTGTTTTCTTTGAGCTCATGCTTCATATGCTGATGTCCCAAAGAGGACCAAACGCTTTAATTGTGAAATGCCTTCTTAAAAATTAGCATCTCAGAATGTCCTTATCCTAAATGTAATTTTGTCCGTTCTATATGGCCAAAATAGTTCTTGCAATTGGTTGCATTTTTCCCTAGTATGTTATACTACTTTATAAAAAAGTTAGTCAATGAACCGAAGATGAATAAAAATAATTAAGACTGAATATAATTCAATAAATAAATGTATTAAATAAATAATTAAAAAACAAAACATCATGTTAAAAACTAAGATAAGCGCATACATTATGTATGTCCTAAAAGCAAGGCCCATTATTCCAAACTTTGATGAATTTTAAACCACTTTTCGTAGACCGATAATATTTTAAGATTTTCGTTATCAAAGCTTCAATTAAAAATAATTAATTTCAAAAAATGGCCTGGTCAATCTTTACAAAAAAAATCGATATATTTCTCGAATCTTTTACAACTGTATTTGGATTTTAAAAACTAGTTTAGAATTTTTGTCGAAAGCGTAGTCAAAAACTTGTCTGCTATTTTTAAAGAAACAGGTCGATCGACGCAAAAAATTAAACTTCAAAGAGAGTTCAAATTTTAACTCACATGCACACACGTATTTTTCCAATTTCGGCCTCAAACGAATCAGAATGACTTGAAACATGAAATTAGAAAAAAATTACAAAAACGTTCTTTCTGACGAGAATATAAATTTATCCTTCGGAGTAAGAATTATTCAGTCATAGTCAGTTAATATGAGCTAATATATTCAACTTACCGGATCTGAAGACCATCTGTTAGGTGTACTGGGTCTGTGCTGGTCAACGCAGACCACTTTGCGCATATCCTCAAAGCTTGGATCAGAAGGCACGACGTCGTAGTAAGGTGGCCTATATTCCTCAGCAATGCCATTCGAAAGAGTTCTGTTAGCGACCTCCCATAGTACAAGACCCAGAGCGTAGATATCGGCGCGCCTGAAGGCTTCGAAGCATTGCATGTTGATGCTAAAAAAGAAACATACTCGTATATAAAAATAGTTAAATGAGATAAAAGTATTTGCTTTGCAACAAGCTTAAAACCTATTATCACGTGTTTGATGAATTTTTAATATTTGACTAGTGATACATTGGATATCGATTTAATGAAATATTCAGTATTTATTAATTTTTGTGCACTTTTGGGCAAAATGACATACTGATGCATTGGATACACATGGTAGTTCCATCGAGACCAAAAAAATAAAAAATTGTAAACTATAATAGGGGATTGGATTTCAATTTTTACTATAACTACTTCTAAAAATAGACCAAAGATCCACCGGTAAAACGAAAAGATTTACATTTATTGCAAAGATTTTATTTCACGTTCGAAGCCCGACGAAGATTGGTTACGTATTTAATGTTATAATATAATATTAATTAATATTACTTATATAATATTATAATATAATAATATCAGCAGGACCGGTCCTGGGGTCCTTAGCGCCCACATGCAACTTTTTTGCCAGCGCCCCCCCCCCCTTATTAATTTTAACTATTTTAACAGTTTATCATTAAAATTATATAAATATTTACATTTTTTTTTTAAATTTTATTCTCAATTGTTCTGGATTTTGTATACAAAAAATTAGTTATAATCTAAAAGCGTATAAAATACATTGATTTTAAATTTATTTAGAAAATCGAGACAAATCGCAGGTTGATTATAATCAAATATTTTTAAATTTTCAATTATTTTTAATATACGTGCAATATTAATATTTGGGGTTTGAAACATTTTACTTATTTATTATGCAATTTATTTTATTGAGCAAATCATGTCAAGAGAGCTAAAAAAAACTAGCTTTTCATTTTCAATCATAACACTCGTATTTCATGTTGGATTTTTCAAATTTTAATTCATTTTAATTTTTCATTATGTATTTACAATATCCAAAATTGCGTCGTAAACTTCTCCTTATTGATATCGTAAGAGCCGAATTGTATTCATCCTTGCTTTCCCGTCATATTCAGAGTATCAGATTGTTGTTTTAACCTTTTCCACTCGCGAATTGCAAGATTTATATGAATTTCCGATTTTCCAATCCGAGTCGCAAGGGTTAAAGTTAAATATTCAACGTATTTTAGAAGCATTGTCAAAAACTCAGTAAAAATGCAAAGAAAGTGAACATTTCTTGAATTATATTGAAAGAAAAAACTAATTATATTTGATATACAGTAGAACCTTCTTATTCGCGGCTTCTTCATTCGCGTTTTCGCTATTCGCGGCCAAAAACATTGCGACCCGATTTCTTTCTTCGCGGCTAAAAATTTCGTTATTCGCGGATTCCAGTGTATATGAAATCCAATATCCTCTGTAAATGCCGTTTTTTTTACCTATATAATTGCGTTGCGTTCGCCGTCCTCTCCGTTATCAGCGTTTTTGATCAAGTAAGCAAACAGGGAAGAATGAATCATATATGTATGCTTTAATATTGTTCGTTTCTGTGGTAAATGCCGCTATGCATGCTTTATTTCTTCATTTTTCTCAATCGTAGCAAATATTGTGATTGAGTAACACGTGCTAACGTGATAATGATTTGTCTGAAACCGACTTGGAAGAAATGTTAAATTTACAACCCAATGAAGAAGAGGCTTCAACGTGCACTGAAAACATGACATTTAATTAAAGAGTATCAGTGAAGGTTTAAAGGTGGCAAATGATCTGTGTGATTTTTTTATGAACATTGATCCATCTATGGAGAGAAGTATTCTTTTTAAGAGGCAAATTGCAGATGTGACTGCCGTTTATCAGTCTGAATTGGAGAAACTCTTGAAAACTACCAAGCAAGAAAAAATTGCAAAGTTTTTCAAATCTTTGCCTATTTCTGAACAAAAATGACCAAAATGTTTAATGTATAATATAATTAATCAAATATATAAAGTAATTAATCTAATGCATTAATAAATATAAATAAAAATATAGTTTTTTTATGTATGTACTTTTCATTATTTTGACACCTTGAAACGTATACCCTATAATCTCATATAAAATGCCATCCTGTATTTGCGGATTTTTCATTATTTGCGGATTATTTGTCATCGTGGAACGTATTTCCGTAATCCCATACAAAATGCCATCCTGTATTTGCGGATTCTTTAATCGCGGCATTTTTACGGAACGCATCCCCCGCGAATAAGGAGGTTCTACTGTATATTATTTCTGCATAGTTAATAATTATTAAATTATTCCAATTAATTATAGTTCATTATTATTAAATTATAGTTCCATTTCCATAACCCTAACGCCTAACCACGCATATCCTCAATATTCAAAGTTCATCAGGTGCGAAACATTTGCAATAAAAACAAAGTTACAATTCAATTTCTCGGAATAAACATGCCATTTTCTAAGCACTGACTCCCCATTTTTCAATTTCCCGATTATAATTTGTTTATATTTTTTAACAAGTTCCATTTCAACTAAATCAGTTCACAATTTTTCGTCAATAATGCCCAATAGTTAATTTAATCTTTCGCAGGTTTGCGCTTATGAGATTATGAGATTGAACAAAATATTTTGTTTTTCGACCTAACGGTAACTTCAAACAGAGAAAAATTGAATAAGTAGATTAAGCAATAAATAGAGATGTTATTTACTAATTTTCAGCTGTTATTATTAATCATTTAATTGTTTCTACTGATATCACATTGCCAAATAAATATGCTTTTTGTGTCTCCGTATTCATAGTTAAGTTAGATTTTTTATTATAATTCATTAAATATTCTAGATTTTATATAAATAATAAAAAATATAAATAATATATTATAAATTTATTTTCCGAAACTCGTTTTGACGCCCCCTAAGGCGTGCGCCCGCATTTTTTGCATGCATCGCATGCAGGGCGATATAATATCAGTATAGTATTTATAAAATTAAATTGTTGAAAAAATTAAGGAGGGTTAAATATTTTTAACTTCTCTAAGTTTATGTTTTCACCAAAAAATTCGATTCGCTAATTTTATGTTTTCTCGACGTGTGTGTGTGTCTATGTGTAAACAGATTTTTTGCCGTAAATCGTCATTTTCTCAAAAACGGCTGGACCAAATTCAAAAATTTAAAAGCCATTCGATGTGTCTCGATGAGGACTAGCATTTCTCAGTTTTGTACGACCATCGACAGAGCCGTTTCTTTGTAAATCGCAGAAAAATGAAAAAAATTTCGTCCACGTTTTAGCGCGCAATTCTTAATCGATTTTGAAAATTCAAAAACCTGTTGTGCCCGCTGCACAACACTATGTTCCTATATCGAATACTCTATCAGTATAAACACCACTAGCTAGTAGGGGCGAAGAATATCGGAAATACTCGAAGAAACCCGAAGGAGGGGAACCTCAGAGGCACATCGAGGATTCAGTTCTCTCTTGGAACTAGCAGCGATACCTAACTACTAAATTCAATTAATTATACAAACTATATCTAATCCAAAGTTGTTCTCTTAGTATTAATAAATTATTTTATAAGTCAAAAGGACTTTCTTGAGTTTCAATTTATATATCCTCGAAATAACCTCCGCTGAAGTATATTAAGGCAGTGAAATATACCAAGCACAACATTGGTGGCAGCGGTGGGATAAATAATCCAACACAAAAACAGGCCTGGAGGATCGAGGAGGAACATAGGAAAGTTCACCACATATCAAGTAAGCCTTATTTAAGACGCGCACGCGCCATCCTGTCCGCCATCTTGAAGACGCCACCGAGCGACGCTTTGAAGCCAAGCGATTGCGAGGTGTATTACATCAGCTAGGAAGGAGGAACACTTGAGTATCAATAGTTATAGTTTGTTTTCGAAATTTTAGACACCGATTATAGTTTTAAGTATCGTTGCCTTTTTATCACAAACTTGTAGAGTAATTACAAACCTTTAGAAACAAAATTTTAGATTATATTACCAACCTTTAGAACAATTACAAACCTTTAGAACAATTACAAACCTTTAGAGTAAGTAAAAATACTTTTAGAATAACTTACAAACCTTTAGAACAATTTACAAATCTTGAGATTAATTTACAAAACTTTTTACAAACCTTTAGAATTAATGTAATCTCAATACTATATTTACTCTCATATTATTTATATATAACTACATTCTGTATCTATTCTTTACCCTTTTATATGTGTTTATGTGTTATTGCTGTAACATGTTACTAATCTAATTTTTGAATATAGGGTCAATGTATAAACGTGACGCTGAAAACTTCTTGCTGCCACGACAGAGTGTAATAAGCAGATCCACTGAGTCGATATTTGAGAGCTACTTATCCTTCCAGTCAACCAACGAAAATTCTGGACTTGATCTAGTAAGTGCCATTTTTAATAATAGTATAGTCGTCTCACCTAAACCCATATCATCTTCCAAATTTTTATCTGCTCCTTCTCTCTGTCTTCCTGATCAAAACTCAAACCTAAACATGCAAGAAACATATGCTCTAACATTGCATAGGGCAATGGATATTATTAAGGTATTTGATGGTTCCGATAACCAGAAATTATCCCCATTTTTAAATTTTCTAACATATATTTTTGAAAGCGTCGACCCTAGGGATCACCCTGCTCTCTTAAAATTCATTTTGTTCACTAAATTAGAAGGGAAAGCTTTTCAAGCAACCCAGTACAAGGAAATAGAGTCTTTTTCTGAATTAAAATCTTGCTTGGAGGAGATATTTTTTGACACCCGATCTGTAGCCTCATTACAGATCGAATTTAATAAAATTTGCCAGAAACCAAATGAAGATGTGCAGTCTTATTCTTTGCGTTTTCAAGCCGTCTTAAGACAGCTTACAAGCGCCACTATAAAGAAAAAGAATAACCCTGCAGCGAATATATATTATACAGATCTCCTCCAAGATCAAGCTCTTTATGTATTTCAAGAAGGTTTACACCCCGACCTTAGAATCATTGTAAATTGTAAATCTCCTCTAAACTTGCATGCAGCCATTTCTATAGCCATCGAGGAGGAGATTT